TTTAATGTACTGTTGGATCCTATTGGCTAGTATTTTGGTGAGAATTTTTGCATCCATGTTCATCAGGGATATTGGTCTGTAATTCTCCTTTTTGATGGGGTCTTTGTCTGGTTTGGGGATCAAGGTAATGGTGGTCTCATAAAATGAGTTTGGAAGTTTTCCTTCCATTTCTATTTTATGGAACAGTTTCAGAAGAATGGGTATTAATTCTTCTTGAATGTTTGGTAGAATTCCCCTGGGAAGCCATCTGGCCTTGGGCTTTTGTTTTTTGGGAGATTTTTGATGACTGCTTCAATTTCCTTAGTGGTTATAAGTCTGTTCAGGTTTTCTATTTCTTCCTGGTTCAGTTTTGGTAGTTGATACATCTCTAGGAATGCATCCATCTCTTCCAGGTTATCTAATTTTCTGGCATAGAGTTGCTCATAATATGTTCTTATAATTGTTTGTGTTTTCTAATTTTCTGGCATAGAGTTGCTCATAATATGTTCTTATAATTGTTTGTATTTCTTTGGTGTTGGTTGTGATCTCTCCTCTTTCATTCATGATTTTGTTGACTTGGGTCATTTCTCTTTTCTTTTTGATAAGTCTAGCCAGGGGGTTATCAATCTTGTTAATTCTTTCAAAGAACCAGCTCCTAGTTTCGTTGATCTGTTCTACTGTTCTTTTAGTTTCTATTTCATTGATTTCTGCTCTGATCTTTATTATTTCTCTTCTCCTGCTGGGTTTAGGCTTTATTTGCTGTTCTTTCTCCAGCTCCTTTAGGTGTAGGGTTAGGTTGTGTACTTGAGACCTTTCTTGTTTCTTGAGAAAGGCTTGTATTGCTATATACTTTCCTCTTAGGACTGCCTTTGCTGCATCCCAAAGACTTTGAACAGTTATGTTTTCATTTTCATTGTTTTCCATGTATTTTTTAAATTCTTCTTTAATTTCCTGGTTGACCCATTCATTCCTCAGTAGGATGCTCTTTAGCCTCCATGTATTTGAGTTCTTTCCAACTTTCCTCTTGTGATTGAGTTCTAGTTTCAAAGCATTGTGGTCTGAAAATAGGCAGGGAATGATCCCAATCTTTTGGTACTGGTTGAGACCTGATTTATGACCTAGGATGTGATCTATTCTGGAGAATGTTCCATGGGCACTAGAGAATAATGTGTATTCCATTGCTTTGGGATGGAATGTTCTGAATATGTCTGTGAAGTCCATTTGGTCCGGTGTGTCATTTAAAGTCTTTATTTCCTTGTTGATTTTTTGCTTAGACGATCTGTCCATTTCAGTGAGGGGGGTATTAAAGTCCCGCACTATTATTGTATTGTTGTTGATGTGTTTCTTTGCTTTTGTTATTAATTGCCTTATATAATTGGCTGCTCCCATGTTAGGCGCATAGATATTTACAATTGTTAGATCTTCTTGTTGGATAGATCCTTTAAGTAGGATATAATGTCCTTCCTCATCTCTTATTACAGTCTTTGGTTTAAAATCTAATTTGTCTGATATAAGGATTGCCACCCCAGCTTTCTTTTGGTGTCCATTAGCATGGTAAATGGTTTTCCACCCCCTCACTTTCAATCTCGGGGTGTCTTTGGTTCTAAAATGAGTCTCTTGCAGACAGCATATCGATGGGTCTTGTTTTTTAATCCAGTCTGATAGCCTGTGTCTTTTGATTGGGGCATTTAGCGCATTCACATTCAGGGTAACTATTGAAAGATAGGAATTTAGTGCCATTGTATTGCCTTAAGGTGACTGTTACTGTATATTGTCTGTGTTCCTTTCTGGTCTATGTTGCTTTTAGGGTCTCTCTTTGCTTAGAGGACCTCTTTCAAGATTTCTTTTAGGGCTGGTTTTGTGTTTGCAAATTCCTTTAATTTTTGTTTGTCCTGGAAGCTTGTTATCTCTCCTTCTATTTTCAATGACAGCCTAGCTGGATATAGTATTCTTGGCTGCATATTTTTCTCATTTAGTGCTCTGAATATATCATGCCAGTCCTTTCCGGCCTGCCAGGTCTCTGTGGATAGGTCTGTTGCCAGTCTAATGTTTCTACCATTGTAGGTTACATATCTCTTCTCCCGAGCTGCTTTCAGGATTTTCTCTTTGTCTATGAGACTCGTAAGTTTTACTATTAGATGTCGGGGTGTTGACCTATTTTTATTGATTTTGAGAGGGGTTCTCTGTGCTTCCTGGATTTTGATGCCTGTTTCCTTCCCCAAATTAGGGAAGTTCTCTGCTGTAATTTGCTCCATTATACCTTCTGCCCCTCTCTCTCTTTCTTCTTCTTCTGGGATCCCAATTATTCTAATGTTGTTTCGTCTTATGGTATCGCTTATCTCTCGAATTCTGCCCTCGTGATCCAGTAGTTGTTTATCTCTCTTTTTCTCAGCTCTTTATTTTCCATCATTTGGTCTTCTATATCACTGATTCTCTCTTCTGCCTCATTTATCCTAGCAGTTAGCGCCCCCATATTTGATTGCACCTCATTAATAGCCTTTCTGACTTCTACTTGGTTAGATTTTAGTTCTTTTACTTCTCCAGAAAGGGTTTCTCTAATAACTTCCATATTTTTTTCAAGCCCAGCTAGTATCTTTAAAGTGATGATTCTGAACTCTAGATCTGACATTGTACTAATGTCCGTATTGAGTAGGTCCCTGGCCGTCGGTACCACCTCTTGTTCTTTTTGTTGAGGTGATTTTTTCCATCTTGTCATTTTGTGCAGAGGAGAATAGATTAATGAGAGAACAAAATGCTAGCAGAGTAACAACGTCCCCAGAAAATATACTCTAAACAAATCAGAAACGACCTGAGTAGTGGGAAAAGAAAGGGAAAGAGAGAAAAAAGAAAAGAAAAAGATAAAGATAAAAACAAACAAAACAAAACAACAACAACAACAAAAATCAGAATGTGATCAAATATGATCAGGCTGGTATATAGATCAGTGCCACACACTACATTTTGGGTGTATTTTGGTCTGTTAGAAGAAAGTGCCTCCCAAAATTTTAAAGAAAGAAAAACTTATATATGCACAAAAATAAGGGTTGATATCATGAAGGGATGGAATATGACTGTAAAGATGGAAATTATAAAAAATTTTATAAAAGGAGTTGATAAGTTGTTTGAAAAAGAAAGAAGAGGATTTAAAAAAAGAAAAAAGAAAAAAGAAAAAAAAGGGAGAGAATGTGATCAGGCACGGGAGTAGAAAAAACCATATACTAGAGATATAGGGTACATTTTGATCTGTTAGAAGAAACTATCTCAAAATTTTAAAGAGAGAACAACTTATATATATATATGCCAAAAATACGGGTAACTACTATGAAGGGATAGAATATGACTCTAAAAATGAAAAATAAAAATGTTTTTTTAAAAAAGGGATTGATAAGATGTTGGTTGAAAAAAGGAAAAAGAAAAATTCAAAAAAAAAAAAAAGAAAAGAAAAAAGTTAAAAAAAAAATTAACTTTGAAAGACTAAAGAATCATTGTAAAAAAGCCATGAATTCTATGTGCAGTTTTCCCCTAGCGCTGGAGTTCTGCCGTTCTCATTGATCGGTAAACTTGGTCTTGGCTGGCTGTTCTCGCTGATCTTCTGGGGGAGGGGCCTGTTGTCGTGGTTTCCAAATGTCTTTACCAGAGGCGGAATTGCCCCGCCCTTGCCCGGTCCAGGCTAAGTAATCTGCTCGGGTTTGCTCTCTGGAGCTTTTGTTCCCTGCGAGCTTTCCATACAGCTTTGGAGGCGGAGAGTGAAAATAGCGGCCTCCCAATCTCCGCCCCAGAGGAGCTGAGAACTCGTGGCCCCGCTCCTCATTGAGCCCCCAGAGAAAAGCCGTCAGTCACTCCCGTCTCCCCAGTCTCCGGCCACACTCCTTGCTCACCCGGCCTGTGACCGCGCGTTTCTATCTCTGGCACCCGACCCCGGGTGGAGTCTCCAAACCCAGCAGATCCCTGTGGTGCACTCCCGCACGGCTCCTCCCAGGGAAGGAAGGTGAGTCTGCCGGGATCTGCCGCTTGTTGGGTCCCTGCTGGAGGAGCAGGGGCCCGACTGTGCCGCAGATCATGGTTTATGGCAACCCCAAGCTGAGAGCCCGGGCCTGGGCTCCGCCTCTGCAGCTGGCTTCCCTGCTCCATTACCTGGGAGCTCTGCCACACTCAGGCACCCCTGGTCTTTCTGTGACCCCGAGGGTCCTGAGACCACACTGTCCTGGAGCGTTCCACCCCCCGCTTAGCCACCAGAGTGATGTCCCTCAGTGGAGCAGATTTCTAAAAGTTCCGATTTTGTGCTCCGCGGCTCTATCACTTGCCAGAAGCGGCTGACGGAAGCCCCTCCCCCGCTGTCTATCCTCCCGAATATCACCTCGGATTCACTTCTCCGCACGTCCTACCTTCCAGAAAGTGGTCGCTTTTCTGTTCAGAGAGTTGTTGCTATTCTTTTCTTCGATCTTCTGTTGAGTTTGTAGGTGTTCAGAATAGTTTGATCCCTATCCAGCTGAATTCCTGAGAGGAGACGAAATCCAGGTCTCCTACTCCTCCACCATCTTGCTCGGCCCCCCCCAGAAAACCATTTTTCAATGCATGTGATCAACTCTATAAGCTTATAGAAGGAAAATGATCATATTGAAATGAAGTTGTTAGAGTATTAGAAAATAAACTTGCATCAAGTTGGTTCATGTAGTTCCTCATGAACACTTTAAATCACAAGGGGTGATCTAAAAACCTACCAAATTTTGCAGCAGTGAATGAGAGCTGCTGTGAGCATATAGTGTAATGTATCATGAAAACTTATCTGTTGGGGGCCAAGTCCCCAGTGCCTCTCACACTCCTGAGGTTTGTCACCTACCTTCTTATCTGAAGGAAACACTAAATTCCAGGTAGAGATGTGTGAATGTAAAGATGTAATTTTTTCTCATCTAAGTTCATGGATTCTGCATTAAAACAAGGACTGGCACGACCGTCCCAGTCCTCCAGCACTGAAACTATTGTCCTCTGTTCTGAGCTGGTTTTCTCTCTCCATTTTTCAGCCCTGCACGAATTCCCCAATGACATCTTCACCAATGAGGATCGAAGACAGGGGGCGGTGGTTCTCCATGTGCTCTGCGTAAGTACCCCTTTGGGGGCTCTGCCTGGAGGGTCCTGAGGGGAGGCCTGGCCGGTGGTGGGTGGGCATATTGAGGTGCACACCTGGCGTGGGTCCTCTGAGCCCCGTGGAGGACAGTCTCTAAACGCACCCTCTGTAGGAGGCTGCAGGTTCGTAAGCTGGAAGATAACGACATATTCTTGATATCAGAGTCTAAACCATGGGCTCCAAGCTCAACCGGACTTGCTCTCTACTATTTAACCTTACTCTCTCTCCTCCAGTGCCACCCTCTTGGGGAACCCTTTCCTAACCAGCCTCTCTAAAATGCCATCGTCTTTCCCCATCCTGGACTTTGTTTTTCTCCATACCACTGATCACTATCTGACATAGTATGCCATCATTATTTGTTTCTTGCCCATCAACCTCACTCACACGCAAGCCCAGGAGAATTGGGACTTGGCTTGCACGTGGCTTCTTTCCCAGACCTGTTTCTGGCATGCAGTAGCGACAAAATATTTGTGAAATTAACGGATTGCCACTGACACAGCATCTGACATAGAGTAGGTGAGCAAGAAACATTTGCTCTGGTTCCTAATGTCCACCACTGCCCTAGCGCTTCCTCAGCAGATCCAGGGGATGGGAGGCCTTCAGTTTTCCTTGTCCCCACTTGGAGAGCATGGGGAGGGTGTGTGCGTGAAAATACATCTAAGGAGTGGCTGCAGAATCAGAAAGATGCAGGCCAAATTCTGGACTAGGTACGTCACTGGGCTTTCCCATCTCTATGGTATTCACTCTCTTCCAGAATGCTCTTAATTCCATTTTGGTTATTTATTGCAGTGAAACAAATTCTCCAAATTTAGTGACATACCCAGTGACCACTCTCCATTACTCACGGGTTCTGAGCGTCGGGAGTTCAGAAAGGGCAGGGAGGGAATGCTGTGCCATAGGACCTCAGCCTGGGAGGGGACAGTTCAGGTGGCCGGCAGTGACCCCAGCAGCAGGGCTAAAGTCCCTGGTGCCAGAGAATCCCCCGCCCAAGAGCGTTTCTCCAGCATCGCATCTGGTGTCCGGGCTGTGGTAACCAAAGCACCAGCTCGGCTGGGACTGTTGGCCAGAGTGCCTCCATGGGGCCTCTCCATCATGGCCCCATGCCACAGCCCAGCACTTGGAAAGGGACATTAGGTGAACAATCCACCAGATAGTATTACAGTCACAAACCCACAATGACTCAAGGGCAGGGGACAAAGACCTTCCTTTTCAGTGCACACGCTGGGCTCTGGAGTTGGACGGGGCATGGGTTTGGAACCAGGACTGCTGTCCTTTTTTTGTGTGTGGCTTCTGACAGATGTTTAGCCTCCCTGGACCCAAAGCTGCCCTAAGCCTGATTCCCCTTGCGTGAAAGCAGTCAGCTCTTCAGGTCTTTCCCCACTTGCCCCAACTGCCCAGAACCCTCCCCTTGAAGAAAAGGCATGAGAAGTCTTTTTTTAGCAAAGACATTCTCTAAAAACACCAGATAAGGTAGACCCTTTGCCATCCTCCCTGCCCTTTAGGAGAGTCACAGGTGCAGAGCGATTAATATGGATGCCAGCTGCCACCTTTGGCACCGAGGAGCCTCCCCTGTCTCCAGGCTGAGGAGACCCAGTCCCTGAGCTGGAGCCAGAATTCCCCTGCAGCCATTAGCACCCGCATGCTTTGATGGCCGAGACAGGAGATTTCCACTCTCAGCACAAACAGCACGAGCTTCCATCCTTCCAAGGTGATGTGGTGGCCTGTGGCTGGCCGGGACCTTGTCCCCACCTTCCCTGGTAGATCCTCTGAATCCAACTGAAGGCAGAGCAGGGTGCATTTGCCTTGCACTTCATGAGCCAAGAGTAGCCATAAGGCCTCTGGTCTCCGTGATAATACAGTTCTCAGGGGGTACATGTAGGCAAAGCAGGACAAAAACAGATAAATCCCCCTTAGACACTCCCTTGCAAGAGTGGATGCAAGCCTGCAAGTTAGCACTTTGTCGTCACTAGTATTTAATACCACAGTTAGCTCCTGTCCTGGACCTTGCATCCTAAAAATCACAGGGGCAAGGAGTCCAGGGGCCACAGTGAGCATCCACCCCTTTAAGACCATACTCTTGGCAACTCTCTGCTCAGAGGGCCTGTGCTTGCTGCTACAGCCTCAGCTCTGCACCTTGGAGGGAAGAGACTCTGGCAGAGAAGCTTGAACCTGCTTCCTGGGGCACCCACACACATGCAAGGGGTGCAGGGTGGAGCCGGTCTCCAGTGAAGAGGAGGGCACCTCTTTTATGTGGCAGAGGCACATGGTAGGGTGGACCTGCTTGTGCCCTCCCAAGGACAGGGACCAAATCTTGTGTTATCCTCCCCACAAGGATATAAGATGTAAACCTCATGAGGAAGCCTCTTTGTATGGTGTCTGGTGCTTGAACAACAAAGGTTGCACAGTTGCGTGCAGGAATGAGAGATTTTTTTTTATCCCCTTCATGTACCATGGTGCCTCGAGCTCTTAGGATGCTCAGAAACTGTTCGATGAACATCATTGGATGTAAGAAAAAACACTGCCAGGGCCCACCTGTGGCATTTCAGTGGCCAGATGAATGCATGAGTCAAAGCTGCAAGGAGCTAAGTATAGATTTCCTGCTCTCAGCCATCTAGAAAGCATTTCTGAGCCCCCGCATACAGTAGCGCTGGACTGGACCCCTCTGGAAGCCTGAGATAGAGCCTCATGCTGCACCGGCCCACTGTCTTGTGGGGAGACCCATTTAGGGACAGCTCCCCCACATGCTGCTGTGGGAGAGCAGAGAAGGATACTTCCAACACTGGAAGGTGCAGTTAGGTTGGAGTAGGTTGGCATTTACCAAAGGGGAGAAAAGGAACTCTAGGCAGGAAAGGAAAACCCATGATCAAAGATGTAGAGACTCAAGAATGCAGGGCATCTGGAGTGAACAGAAACTAAAGGCAGGGAAGATGGGGGGCGGGCATTACCTGGGAGGCGCCATGAGGTGACTCAGCTGCTGAGTTGGAAGTGGAGGGAAGCAAATTCCTGACCTCACCATCCCTCCTTGCCTAGGGAGTAGGGTCAGGCATGGCCAGAGAGAACCCAGCATGGTCTGTGCTCTAGTAAGGTGACGAAGACCCAGGCTCACTCTTTCTTAATTTCCAGCCCCAGGGTCGGCTTATTTCTTCCTGCCTGACCATGGATCACAGCCAGCCTATGGGTTGCCCTCCCCTGGGTCAGGTCTTAACCAATCAGCCTGATCAAAGCACAGGCCTGCCTTGCAGAGGGTGGGGCAGCTCCTGAAGGAGGAGTCTGGGCCCTGCAACCCCAACACCAAACTAACCCCCTCCACCCAGGGCTAAAGCAAAGGCTGATTTGGCTAGGTGGGGGTCCTTTCTGGGGAAAGCCCACATCCCAGGCAGTCTGTTCCCCTTTCAGTCCTGGGGGAGGAAGCTGTCTGGAAGGGGTCTCAGCAAGGGATGTCATTTCCTTGTGGCCTGAGTTTCTTCCAGTTCTCTCTGCTATTTAATTTTAATATCTGGAGTAGTTTCTCTGGATGTGCTCCTCTCCCTGGGGCCCAGATTACTTTTGTTAAGAGCCAAGGAATAAACTATTTGCTGCAACAGCAGGTTATTAGAGGGCAGAAGGGCCAGGCTACCAGCAGGAGGTGGAGGGGACCCCTTCCGCTACCCACCCCTCACACCAGCCCTCCAAGAGTCAGCTTTGCATGTCAAAGCTCTCAGTCCACCTCCGCCCCAGGAGTGATTTTTGTCTCTCCAAGGCTATTGCTCTGCTTTTTTGGCTCTAAGACAACTCAACTTTTATACACCAGCCCTATCTAATAGAACTTTACGTGCTGGTGGAAATGTTCTCTGCCCGCGCGGTCCAGTAGGGCAGCTGCTGGCCTGTGTGTGGCTGCTGAGCTCTCCAAGTGTGGTTAGTGTGATTGAGGGACTGATTCTTTATTTGTATTTCATGTCAATTAACATATTTTCAAATAGCCACTTGTGGCAGGGGACTGCCCTGGAAAGCCTTCAGATGGATTCTGATTCAGCACCTTCCCTTCCTTTTTTATGTTGTCAGCTTTAAATCAAGAAGCAGAGACAGGAAAAAAAGGTTGCCTGCAAAGAGGTGCTGCTCCCTCACTCCATCCTCTTAAGGGCTAGCCTGGGGTTAGCAGTTCAAACAAATGGGATGCAGGGAAGTCATTGCCAGGGTCCAACGGGATGTTCGATGATGAGACAGGACACCCAGAGTGAGGACGCTTGTCTATCACCCACAAGCTCAGTGCTTTGGAACAAGTCACAGAATTTCTGACCTCAGTTTCCACATCTGTAGAGTGGAAGGTGCATAGTAGGTGCTCAGTAAATGGTGGTTTTTTTATCTTCACCTTCTCTCCATCCCACACCCCTCTAAGGGCAGCTCCCCTGTGATTAACCTGTTACAAACACCTGTCATGGGACCAGAGCCAGATCCATTCAGAGGCAGCCCTGTCCTGAGCAGCCAGACATGGGGCATCAGGGAGGCCTTTCTGCAGCTCATGTTTTGCCAGGCCCAGGGCTCTGGGAGAGAGGCTGCTGCTGTGAGGGTTTTAGAAATTTAAAGGAACCTGTGTGATCTGGTCAGCAAGGTCCCAGCAACAGTTCACTCGCTGGGCAGACGTGTTTAGTTAAGGAATTTCACCCTGGAAGAGAAAAATGATTAGAAGAGCTTGTGGAATTTGCTGTTTACTCTTGGAAAAGTGCTGAGCATGTCCTTAATTTGTCAGTGTCAACACAAAGCTAAAACTGGCGTCCAGAGAGGATTAGCGCAAAAAGAGTAAATTATTATGTTTCAATAGATCTTAAGTTCTTCCCTCCCCTCCTTGCTCCTGGGACACACTTCAGAAGGCCCAGCTTTAACCATTAGGTCCCATGGGCTTGCTGGGAGATTGATGTCCCCAGGACCGCCGAGCTGGATAGAAAGTATGAGGATGGGTTAGAGCACGCTCTTGGAATGAAACCCATCTGCGTTCC